CCACACCCCCCCGGCTTGCAGCCCTCTGGCCCTGCCAGTACCCGTCAGCTGCCTCAGGTGTCCCACGAGCCAACCATGCTTGAAAGGACTCCTTCTTCAGCTTGATGGCATCCCTTACTTCCGGTGTCCACCACTGGGTTCGGGGATTGCCGCCACGACAGACACCGGAGACCTTACGGCCACAGCTCCAAACGGCCACATCGGCAATGGAGTTGGACAATATGGTCCACTCGGACTCGATATCTCCAGCCTCCCTCGGGATCTGGTCAAAGCTCTGCCGGAGGCGGGAGTTGAAGATCTCTCTGACAGGGGATTCTGCTAAACATTCCCAACAGACCCTCACAATACGTTTGGGTCTGCCGAGTCTGTCCAGCTTCCTCCCCCGCCATTGGATCCAGCTCACCACCAGGTGGTGATCAGTTGACAGCTCCGCCCCTCTCTTCACCCGAGTGTCCAAGACACATGGCCGGTCATGTCAGGAGAGTAAGATGTATTTCTGCAAGTCTGTGTTCTACTTGTTCAACAGGTGCTGATTAATTACTTGTACTCTCCACCCTCTACGCACAGGAAGAATAATGCACGTATGCCTACAGCCATGGGCTCATCTGTTTTCAGGTTGTTTTACTCAGATGCAAAAGGACTCGTGGGGTGTGGCTCTGAATGATAAATGCCTGTGTGCGCCCTGTAACCTGGCCTCCCTGAGACTAAAGCTGCCACACTAATGCACAACTGCAAATGCTCCAGGTATAAGCATGTGTATGTTTTACTTGTTTTAAGCATGTGTGTATATTTCTCATTTACACTAAATAGCTCAAATTCCTCATTTAAGTGCTTTGTTTGTGGCACAAACTCTACATAATTTACAACAGTAAACATAAAACTGATGTTCACTGAAACACTGAATGCTTCGTTTTGTTCCTCTGTTCTTACAAACTGAAATGTGTACATAGTGGCCCCTGTCTTGCAACAAATGCATTATGTGCAGGGCGGGTAGCACTTCTGATTTTCCTCATTTCCTACCTGGGCAATTGCTGTTTTATTGACATATGCATCAAGTTGCTTTTTTTTTTTAACCAAGCAGCAGTTTGTTGACTTTGTTCCAAAAAGTGTGTCCAGATGAAAATTGACCACGTCCACGTTGGTAATATGAGGGCGCATAAAGTGACTGTGCTGCTGACCAGCAAAACCCAGGTCTGTGGTCAACAGTCAAATCATCATTGCTAGTTAATGGGTGCTTTGACTATGTTGTGATGTGCACTTGTCTAGGGGCATGCACAATTCTCGTGGGCTACGCTTGGAATATCGTGGGACGCCCTGGGCAGGACATGCATGTGATGATGCGGTTGAATTCTTCTTATCAACTAACTGGCTAAGACAAATGGGTTTGATCCCGGCGCTGCACTTATTAAGTCGTTGCCCGCCAATAAAATCTACAGAAGAAGAAAAAGTCAGACTTAACATATAGTGAAGCGCATGAAGAGGAGGAGGGAAAGAAGGGAGTGTTATGTTTGGTGTATCACATCAAACTGTGGGCTGGTTTGACTTGTCACCGGTCCTGTCGGGCAAACGGTATATTTCGGTCACTAGTTACAAAACAAGGATAAAGACCGACAACAGCCGGAAACACCGAGGCGTCACGACACAACAAGTAGTTATGCAGGATGGTCGAATTAACGGACACTGCTTTTAAAACCACTGGATCAAAGTGGCTGCTGCCTGTCAGCCAATACGTTAACTTACCTCTTGAGCAGGTAGGAACATTTGTCCGTGAAACACAAATTGAAATATATTGGAGGTATTAAGAGCATTTCAACAAGCTACGTTGTCTCGTGTATAGCACTCGGTGGATGAAAGCTCGGTCAATTAACGCTGTGCAGTGATTCTCAGCAGTCACCGACGCCCATTTCGCAGCTCATAATTGTAATGGTATAGAATACTGCGTTTGAAGTTTTTTCTGTCCAAAGTGGCATAAGCTATTGAAAATCTCTATAGGCTTCTTAACATTTAGAGCCAGTTATTTGATAGTGTGCTTCACAAATATCACGGCAAAACTAGACATCCTTATAGAAGTGTTGATTTCTATGACGATAAAGCTATACATCCCCCATTGTTTCCCCTAGGTTTACAGACGGACACGCGCGACATATTTTCCGACACGCGCTCTCTGTCCACTAGTGGGAGTGTGCGCGCGACCATGTAGACAGAAATGATATGCCATCGTGTAAATGAGATAAATAACATAAGGCTATTTACTTTGTTTAATAAACGAACAAAGTATAGACATTGGTATAAAGTATAACCTTAGATGACTTCTGTTAGAACTGCTACCCATGCTCTCACAATAAATGCCCATAGAGGTATTATTAGTTGTCTTTGAGCAGCTGTAAACTCTCATCCTAATCCAGCTCTCTCCCACACAGGTGAATTTTTTGGCATGCCAAGGGTTTGCCCTAGCTGCTGCCTTCTGGTTTCGTCTCTACCTCGGTCCCAGCCATGCCAATCCCCTGGTCAGGCATGCTGTGGCCACACTCCTTGGCATTGCCTTTCTCATGTTCTGCTTCGGATGGTACTGTATGAAAGGCAACACAGAACTCCTTATAGTTATATGAAGACAGTCAGGATGTAGGAAATACAAGACAGACAGGATAAATGTTTGTGGTGGCATTTGATCAGTGAATATAAGTTTTAGGGGGCTGAACACAGCCATGTTGTATCATAGACAACATACAGTACAGCATAATGTCCTGTTTTCATTTTAAATAAAGAACACAAATAATAGTAATGCTGCAATGTGTCTGTCCTGTTCTGCAGGTACTCTGCTCACATCCTGACAGTAGTGGCTGCAAACTACTTGACTAGGATTCACTCCTGGACTGGTCGTGGTGGTTGGTTGCTGAGGGGACAAAGTCAGAGAAACAGTTAATGGGAGACTGTGCATCGACCTGCGTGGTGGAGTGATGTGGAGTTGTGGAGGTCCATGGTCCGGAGAAGCGATAGCGGCTGGGAAGATAGACACGGGGCACAAGGCAGGAACAGAGCTGGGATGAAGAGCGTGAGCAAATACATATAGTGGACAAAATAATAGATTGGCATAGAAACGGGCTAGAGTATAGAAAGAACTGGCAGGGAAGTGGATGATGAGCACGGTATAAATAGGGAGAAACTAATCAGGTGCAGCTGGTGGTGATTCAGGGGACATGAAGCAGGTGTGTCAGATAAAAAAATGAGGGGTAAGGGAGCTAAAATAGAAGGAGAGAAGTGAGAGAGGCAGGGGCAGCCTGTCAAACCTGACAGAAACAAACATTCTTCCACCCACAATATGAATGTTCTAGGAACTTTTTAAAAACTTGCCGCTGAAAACATCACTGGAACGTTCTAAACTAACATTTTCCTAAAAAAACTGGAATGTAACCGGAACCTTCTTGGAACAAAAAAATCCTAGCTGGGGAGTGTGCGCGCGACCATGTAGACAGAAATGATATGCCATCGTGTAAATGAGATAAATAACATAAGGCTATTTACTTTGTTTAATAAACGAACAAAGTATAGACATTGGTATAAAGTATAACCTTAGATGACTTCTGTTAGAACTGCTACCCATGCTCTCACAATAAATGCCCATAGAGGTATTATTAGTTGTCTTTGAGCAGCTGTAAACTCTCATCCTAATCCAGCTCTCTCCCACACAGGTGAATTTTTTGGCATGCCAAGGGTTTGCCCTAGCTGCTGCCTTCTGGTTTCGTCTCTACCTCGGTCCCAGCCATGCCAATCCCCTGGTCAGGCATGCTGTGGCCACACTCCTTGGCATTGCCTTTCTCATGTTCTGCTTTGGATGGTACTGTATGAAAGGCAACACAGAACTCCTTATAGTTATATGAAGACAGTCAGGATGTAGGAAATACAAGACAGACAGGATAAATGTTTGTGGTGGCATTTAATCAGTGAATATAAGTTTTAGGGGGCTGAACACAGCCATGTTGTATCATAGACAACATACAGTACAGCATAATGTCCTGTTTTCATTTTAAATAAAGAACACAAATAATAGTAATGCTGCAATGTGTCTGTCCTGTTCTGCAGGTACTCTGCTCACATCCTGACAGTAGTGGCTGCAAACTACTTGATCATGATCAAAGCTGACATCAACCATGTACACAGGCAAGACTTTTCCTTCACACCACTAAAGGAGATCCACACGAAAGGGTGATATTTGGCAGTGTTATGGAGACAGGTGGTTGGCTTATAAAATATTGCAGCAATGAAATGGGTTGGAATTTGTGACGTTTAGCCATATGACATATAAGGTAGAATTAATTACATTGTGATGTATTTATGGTGTGTGCAGTCTGTCAGTGCCCTTTTACCATATCTTGAAGTATCGGCAGCCTTTTACTATGTAGTTCTGCCTTTTGTAGCCATTTGATAGCATGGCTGGTTTGGTACAGGCAAACAAAACAGAAACAGCTTTATTGGCCAGGTGTGTCGGACACATGAGGAATTTGACTCTGGTACATCGGCTTTCAATGTGTATGTACATATCCCCATGCAAGGGCCAAGTAAACAGTAAACCAGCATAAGGCTGAGTAATATAACAAAATAAGCAGTATTAACAGGCAGTAAACAATGCAGACAGACAAAGGAATGCTCATTGAAATGAGATAAATAGGAATAAAAACAGAGTACTTAAAACTAGAGACCTATATGAATCTGTATAATTATACAGCCTGACAAACCAGCCAGACCAGTCAGTTAGGTCACGACAGCCAAAGTGTGTGCATATGTCTGCATTTTAAGTGCTAGTTTCTCTCTATGCAGTCTATTCTACACTTGTGTAGATTTTTAAGTGTACATACTTTCTTCATGTTTTGGCATGTCTGTGTGTTGGCTTGTATGAGGGTACACACAGTTGTATACCATGGTAGAAAAAGAAAGTTGCAGTGTTGTTTCTAAACCAGGCTGACCTATGTGACTGTCACCATGCTGACTGGTGGGTGAAAGACCTGCTACACCAGCAGTGTCTCATTTGTATGGTGTTGGTACAGTTCTGTTACTGTTGTCTTCAGGTAAAATCTGTCAGACAAGATCAGCCCAGAAACCATTCACGGCATATACAGTAGGTGTAGTATGATGATGGCAATAGAAAGTCACTTTCGGCTTTTTCCGTTTATGGGTCACCACAGCAACTCATATATGAACCTATATGAATCTGTATAATCTATACAGCCTGACAAACCAGCTGGACCAGTCAGTTAGGTCACGACAGCCAAAGTGTGTGTGTATACAGTCTATTCTACACTTGTGTAGATTTTTAAGTGTACATACTTTCTTCATGTTTTGCTGGGGTGTGTGTGTGTGTTGGCTTGTATGATGGTAAACAATTTTTCTCAAGTATGTTATGGTAGATGTTTTTCCACTAAAGAAGGTTTGGTTAAGTCTCTGGCATTCATGTCTAAAGGCATTATCTCCAGGATTTAATAATCTGAAACCGGCATTGTTCTGTACATGTGGAAGTCCCAGGTTACAGATACATAAAACATTACACAGCCCTTTATCACTGTCACAGGGTGAGAATAGGTAACTGAATGTGTCAATAACCCTTCTCTGACATACTATATGTATGATTATTCTTTCTCAACATTTATTGTTGCTTATGGAAAAATAATACAAGTCTGAGTGTTGTGTCCAAAATCACTCTTTACCTACACTTTATAGAATGTACACTAAGTAGTTCACTCAGTATTGAACAGTAAACTGTGGGATTGTTAGCAGAAAATAGTGAATATGGCAATTTTAGAGTGCACTATATAGTGGATAGATTTACACACTCAGCATTCAGACGCAGCTACAACAAGGCGAACACACTATATGGTGCACTATGTAGTGTGTAGGGAGTGATTTTGGGCACAGCCTGTGTGTTAAGTAGTACTTTTATCTTAGCTTATGGGAGTTCAAACATTTTTATCATCTCTAGTGGCTCCTCTCATAAGTCAGGATACCATATCTGCATGTTGAAACTCGCATTTTGAGTCACTCATTTCACAGTTAATAATTAAATGAGTTTATATCAAACTTCTGAGTTTGGACTCATTTCCAAGGTTTGCAGCTGTGGAAAATGGAAAAAATGGAAAACTAAGAAAGTTACTGCTTGATCTGTGAATTGAGCTAAGTTTGGGTGTGTTGAGCAAACAGTCGGAATACCTCAAATGAAACTATCCCTTCAGTCTTTCTGGACATTACAGATAATTTGTATATCACCATATTGCCTGATTTAGATTTGGCTCCTTCCTCCACATACAGGTATTCCATGGTGATAGCTATGGGCTATCTGACAGCGTGCCAAGTGAGTCGAGTCTTCATCTTTAACTATGGAATACTGTCCACTGACTTCTCTGGGTAAGGAAAGACTTGATCACGATTGCCTCATCTCTTTTGTTACTCATGTCAGTTCTAGAGCAGTTTTTATGTTATCAGTTAACATTTCCAAGCTGTGTGATGCCTGCTTACACAGGGCCTTGTGTAAATACAACAGCACTGATTAAAAAGCAGCAGTGTGGATTGTCCAGCCCAGGTAGAGTGAAGGCACTGGCTGCCTCCTGGCAACTGTAATTTGGTTGTTAGAAGCAAGACTGCATTTAAATAAGCAGGAAGTTTACTTTTTTGTCTGTTTGCCTTTATTTGGAGGGTTTCTCTTCATTACAACATTACACATCCTCCTCCTGACTACTACAAGGATTATAAAGAACTGTTCAAACTAGGTGTGCGTTATATAATGGCTATGATAATGGCTTAATCGATGTTTTAATGAAGTCCCAGTTGGCATTATCGAGTTTGCATCGAGCTTACCACTCACTTTTAAAACGATCAAATACATGGCGTTAGCGTCCACTTGTTCCCTGCATCGTGTAGCCTAGCTGAATAGACTCCTGCCTGTGCGCATGGAGAGTGCATGCATCATGTACATGATCACCTCACCACAAGTTGGATAGCAGAAGAAGAATGAACATAGACTGATCAGCCATAACATTATGACCACTGGCAGGTGACTGACTTTCTGTTACAGTGGCACCTATCAGTGTGTGGGGTATATGAGGCATCAAGTAAGCATTCAGTCCTCAAAGTTGATGTAATGGAAGCAGGAGAAATGGGCAAGCATAAGGATTGATGATTACGTACACTAACCCAAGCTTCTATGAGTATAGGCGTAGCCCTCCAACAGCTGTCGCTATTGGGGTTTTCCCTCGCGCATGCGCAGTCCTGAAGAGATTCTTTTGCGCCCTGTGCTTTGCGCTGGGCTGTCCCCAAACAGGTCCGCTGCGATGGCATAAATGCCACTGTGACCTGTGATCGACTCCCTACACCAGCACATTTTCTTCAGCTGGCGGGGGCGGAGACAGCAGGGCTGCCAGCTTAGAGGGCTATGCCTGTACACATAGAAGCTTGGGTTACTGTACGTAATCATCATTCTATTTCGTATAGGCTTCGCCCTCTAAGAGCTGTCGCTATTGGGATAAAGGTGCAGCTGGATGTAGTCAACGCCCTGTTGGCACACTGCCACCCAAGAGCATTAAAACACACCTCAGCTTGCCAACATACCTTATAATAGCAGCCAAAACAACATCCTCTCTCCTGTATCAGGCCTGCCTGAGAAGCAGGTGCAATCATGTCCATATAAACACCTGACTGCAGCTGTAAAGGCAGAATGGCCATTCTGTTAACAGGGGAGGAGAAGTGCAGGGAAGAGCGCACAGATAACAGTTAAATTCCAAGAGCATACGGGCGCTAACCGCGTACAGAGATAATCAGATGACCGTATTACGCAGCTGTTGTCTCACAGTAGTAATAGCAACATTACCAGCGGAGAACATGAGTACCATGGAGAGCGTACAGACGCGTGCACGCGCGCACACCCACACACACACACACACACACACACACAGCAGGTACAGCGGCAGCCTCCATTGCTAGTAACGACAAA